TTTGCTGGCTGAGGAATTCTGGGAGTTGAAGTCCACAAGTCTTAAAGTTGCCAAGGTTGGACACCCCTGGTCTAGATCGTGACATGATGAAATTGGCCCAAGGGTAAAGGCTAGAAACCAGGAGACGGTGAGATCTTGTCCCGCCTTAGCCAGGAAAGGCAACAGGTTGACTTTGGGCCAATCCCTAGGAGAGGTGAGTTCTAGTCCTACCACCTCAGGCATAAAAGCCAACTGGATTGATTTTGCACGGAAAAGAGGAGGAAGCAGCGTCAGGCATGTCTGCCGGCTTGAATGAGTTGTGAAGTAACCAAGGCGGGATAAAAAACATCAAACCGTCAACGGGCAGGTAGAGAGACAGAGAAGCTCCAACCCATTTGGATCTTTTCCAAGAGGCATCCCACAAAGTCTTTCAAACCGGATTCTTACAAATAGGAGTGGGTTCATTTGGGATCATCCCCATCCACCTTTAAGAAGGGTCGAAACCTGGGATGCTGGCGGCAACCCGTATCAACCCGCAGCACCGGTCAATTTTATTTCTGAGACATTTGTTAAACGTTCGGCTGACTGAGTTTCATGTTTCATGACTAAAAGAGATGATAATTACTAATAATAGCTGCAGAGGTTCTTCCCTGGGAGGAAGGGGAACTGTGAAAAGACCCCTGGGGGTGTGGGGTGGGGGTTTACCTCCTTGGGGGTGAGCTTGCGCCCCGTTTCGTCCACGTATTCTATCTTCACGTCGGGTTTGTAGCCATCTTTTTCCTTGAAGTCCTGAGTGAATCCCCGGTATTCCTCCCGCCGGCTGTATTTATCATCGATGGCCCTGAGGGGAAAGGGATGACAGGCATCCGTCACACCTTCCCTGGCCATCCCATTGGCTGAGCCAGGGCAAAGGAGGGAACAGGCGCTCAATGCAACAACCCCCCCCCCCCCAAATAATACACCTTTCATTACACAACGCGGGTATAGTCCTCGATTTACGGAAACAGTTGGGAAGAAATGGGAATGGAAGTTAAAAGGTTTTGTAAACCAAAGAGAATGGAACAAATATGAGAAGATACAAACGCAGGAGTATAAAAGACGGTTGCGGATATGTATATAATTGTATATAAATGTATATAAGTGTAAATAGAAATAATACGCAGCTAGCACTATACTAGTAACATAAGGGAAAAAGGAAATTAACTGTTGTATGTATCTCTGTATTATAGCTCAGGGGTCTTCAACCGTGACCACTTTAAGACTTGTGGACTTCCACTCCCAGAATTCCCCCTTCTCCAGTCATGTTAGCTCAGGAATTCTGGGAGTGGAAGTCCACAAGTCTTAAACTTGCCAAGTTTGAAGACCCTTGTGATAGATGATGGATAGATAGATAGATAGATAGATAGATAGATAGATAGATAGATAGATAGATAGATAGATAGGTAGGTAGGTAGGTAGGTACAGAGAAAGAGATGATGGATAGATAGATAGATAGATAGATAGATAGATAGATAGAT